ATTGTGCAATTTGCGCTTGTTGCAATAGGTGGCAAGACCAAGCAGACGAAGTTGTAGCTTGTGAAGGCTGGGGACCCCTATCCCTTGGCCCAGCCTTACCAAGGCAACACTCCATAGCAATAGGCAGAGGAAGCGTGGGGCCAAACAAAGGGGCACCCACAACAGCTGACAGCACCCCCCCATGGTGAGGGATCCGGCCGCGCAGATGGCGGTGGCACAAAGACGGCAGTGGCAGGGAGGGAGGGCCGGGGGGGTCCGCTGGCGGCAACGCCGCACTGCCAAACATGTTTGACTACCGGCATATGGTGACTGGGGACTTGGGATAATGAGAACTGGAACCCTGCGTAGAGGGGGGTGGCTTCAAGCTGGATATTCAGAACTTGGTGATCATGGAGTGACTTCTTGTAACAACTCAGTGGCGCGTTTATGCACTACAAGTGTGCAATTCTCAGTGTACACATGCCGTTTCTGCGTTTGACTCGCTGGCATGGTTTGCGACTGGGGTCAAGTTTGCTCGATTCATTGCAACTGCAGTATCAGCAGGGGCCACGAAATCGTGCTGCAGGTCGATTCTCCCAGAAAGATATGTCGCAAGCCTTTGCCTTGCACATTCTTTCATAATGCAGAGCACGCACATGAGGCATTGTGATGGAGAATATTCAACAAGCAACTTGTTCCCCGCAGCCTCTAGCCCGAAACTGCTGTACTCCTTTCGCTGAAAGTGTGGTCCTTTTACCTGCGAGTGTGCCCCTAACCCACACCACTACAACGACTTTTCCCAGCAAAAGAGAACATACTGTTCAATACATTGTCAAACACGCTTTTCCTACTGCACTCAGAGAGACTTGGAAACTCCTTGGGCCATGCGTTTTCCAAGAATACCATGCGCGCTCCACGAAGCGCACCATTCAGCCAAGAGCCCAGGTGCAACCCTCACCAGAGGTGAAATCCCACCTGATAAAAGTGGAGGCCGTCATAGACCGCTGACAACGCACTGTTCCACAGCAGATGCATATGCACATGCCACCGACGGTGGTATCAGGAATCGAAGGACTTTTCTCGTGGCGCATCGAGCCCATCACTGGGTGGGGTCACCGGCCACACCCACACACAAGGCATTGTAAAAAACAAGTAAATTTTCTCCTTACATTCAGCACTTGCCAATCCCGACCATAAGCCCCATCCAAACTATGTACAAACACACAGGCGTTCAAAGCTCTACACTGCGTTCACGGCCACAGACCGTCCAGGAAGCAAGGCGTGGGAATCTCGATCCCGTAGAATTTGACAGAGTCGGCGATGGCACAACCTGGGCCATAGTAGGCGGTGGGCGTCACCACAGCCTTTGAGAAGATGGTGGAGCCCAAGGGGTCGTCCAGGTGGCTTTTCAGGGCCGCCAAGGGGTTCAAACCAGTCACCTTGAAAAGGAAATTTTCAAATATCAGCCACACTCACAACAAAGCAAACGAATTTCAGACAGAACAACAATGGCTGATGTTGATTATGTGTGTCGAATCTGTGGACACACTAACAGAGAAACAAAGCACTGCACTTGCACCTGGGAGGCGATGGCGAGCCCCAGCCATTCCACAAATGTCCAGAATGCTGACATCCCAAAATGGGACATCCGCACGAATCTATGTTGCAAATCAAATGTGTGCTGCCATCCAGTGGATGCCTCTGCCCAGGGACTCTTTCAAGAAACAAAACAGATACCCCCTGGAAAGCGCTCTGGTTAGGGCAGCGCCTCCCGATTCTTGAATTCAACACTTGGATATCTCTTCAGTATGTCTTTATGTTCAAGTCTTGTTCATGGCTGTGCATGGGCGAACTGGCATGGACAGTAGGTGTGAAAACCACAGTGCTGGGCAATCTTCGCCACCACAGCTTCGTTTCAGTGCAGTTTGCCAGAGGTACCCTGCACATTAAGGCCCAATCCAGTTACTGAACAACAACTTTCCTCAGCACTTGTTGCTTATCATAAACCATGTAATCCAACACCTGGATAAGGTACCCACCTGAGCAGACATCACCATACCAATGAAGGCCACCATGGCAAGGCGGCCATTCTTCAATTCCTTCAGCTTCAGTTCCTCGATGTCACCTGGAACAAAGGGAGCAAAGATGCCGCCAGGGTAGCCAGGCTGGACGCCGTCACAAGCATAAAAATTCAGACATGCCCTGTTTTGGACAATTGCATGCGCAAAAGTGGCAATTTGTATGTCCCCAGGCTCGAAGCATCAAACTGCACACATGTGGTAATAGGACCCATAAAGGCAAGGCAGTCGTATTGCCTATTCCAATGTCTGCAGAGAACTGTGCATCAGCAAGTTGAACAAGGAGAATCCAATCGATACTGAATGCACAGCATGCATGGTTGAACAACTGGCAGCTTGTTGATGCATGTCTGATGCAATAACTTGCTAAAGCACAGAGCAGCTTTGCCTCCTGACAGAGGTAAAGAGATTTTGCACTGAATGAACTTTCCCTTGGGCAGTGCTGGAATCAATCCTTCGAACACTATGTTTGATCCCAGCGAACCATGCCAGGAACCCATACAGTGCCTGGGTGTGGCATGCTGGCTGGAACAGAACAACCACATAGGTGCTATAACGAACAGGAATGACTGTCAGTTGAGCCTGTTCCACCTGACAATCTTGAAAATGGGTCCGTGCACTTCTTTTCCTCAAGGTCAAGGCAACATGCAGGCCATTATTTCCCTGCTCCACCCACTAGGAAGACTTCTGCAGCACATGTGTGACAGTCTCCCAGTGCCACAGAGAAGGCACACCACAACCCAGGCACCCTACCTCGTGGTCAGGAAGACTGAAATTGCTGAACACAGGGTCCTGGTTCACCGATCCTGGCTTCCTCAGGTCCTGCCATCTCCGGACCTCAACATAGTGCATAGCAAAGGCCTGGCATGCCACTAGGCCCAAGGGGTTGAATGGCAGATCGGCCTTCACGGCAGCCTCGTACCAGAAGACATCCGGGTTCGTAATTTCCTGAAAGGACCACCAAACATATTCCAATTTTTAATTCGTGCCCAAGACAAACACAACCATTGCACCATGCAAGGGAAGATGGGCATGAAGCCACACCCAAGCCTTTCATCTGCTCGTGTACTCCCTTGCATGCCGGAAACCAGAATGTCGGCATCTGGCAAGGTGTGCGATTGTCAGTGTGGATCAGTCCAGCCGGAAGAAAGTAGCAACACCACTCGGATCTCTGGTGGGTGCCAGCTGGAGGAAAGACGGTTTCACAGTAAGGGAGAGGGACAACACTAGGAGCACCACGAATTGTTGTCCTTTAACCATGCACCGAATTGGTGGTTCCTCAATCGCGCACCGGTTCGTTAATTGCGATCGGTCGCGCTGTTTCCGTGCAGTGGCAATTTGAGTCACGAGAGCCGGTTTCCTATGGCGCGCAAGTTCCGAGTCTCGGCAAGGGACCCGGGAACAGCCGGTGAAGACGCAGGCAACCACGCCCGACGATCCTTCAACAGCCCAACTCAGGCCTGGCAAACCCGTGCGTACGGACATCCAGCGTGGGGCAAGGCAAGTTCATCGGACTGCACCAGAAACTAAATCATTTCAGGCACATGCTTCCCCCACGATAGTGCACCTCGCATGGCAGGTGCAGGTGCAGCCACCAAAAGGGACAGACGACCACTCCTGCACTCTCCGATGCCACATGCCGTCACCCGCCCAAATTTCGATCGCCATCTCTCCACACCGGTCACAAAATCTGGCCCGCGACACGCCACACACGAGCCGCGTCCTCGGCGGCGATTCCCCCACACCACCCCGCCGCGGGCCCCGCATCACGGCCCCGCTCCCCGCCTCGCCCCTCCCCAGCATCCGAGCAGAAAATCCGACCAAAAACGTCGAGAGCAATGACCAAGAATGTCAACGATGCCAAAAATCCAGCACTCGTGATCGCCCGGGCGGGATCCGCCGACGCCCCCCCACCTGTGCGAAGATCCCCGCCGTGCCGAGCATCGCCCACCGTGCGTGCTGCAGCTCCGCCTCCCGGAACCACTTCATCGCCTCGGGGTTGGCGCCGAGGCCCAGGGGGTCGTACCCGAAGTCCCCGGTCATCGATCCGTCCAGGTGGGCGGGCGGCGTCGACCCGGGGCACCAGGACGGCCTGTCCGCGGCCATCTTGGCGCGCGCGCCGTTGGAGACCCCCCTCAGGCCTTTCTGGGCCCTGGGCGCCAGGCGGGCCCCCAGGCCCTTCGGGCATCCGACAATGGCGCTCATGGCGCGGCCTGTTAAGGGAGGGTAGGCTCCCGGCGGGTGGGCGAGGGGGAGGGTTGGGGGGGAGAGCGGCGCACGGCTGGCGGGGCCGACGTGGGGGTGGTGGGGAGGGGACCTAGACAGGGAAGGGGGCAAAAGTCGAGATCCGAAGGGGGGCCAGATCCGCGATATGGACGCAGTGCTCGCGATACAGCCCGTGTGCGCGGGGTGTTTCGCATCGGGAACGGCATCGATACGGGAATGGGGCTGATGGTGGAAAGCGGGGTGGCCGCTGTCGCGTCGGGGAGGGTGGGGGAGCTTCTGCAGCCAGGGAGTGAGGGGCTCTTTGTTCTTTTTCGTTTGTTTTTCGTTTCTTTATTCGCGTGCTTGAATTGACAATACGTCGACCCCACGGGGCCGGAGGCATTTGCGTCCAGCGCGCCCGAACTGGGCGGGTTTGAAAGCGAGTTTCTGGCGGGGCCGCAGGATGAGATGCGATTCAAGATGCATCATCGGCACAAGGGAGACCACCCCACTTCGCGGACTGCCTGTAGTTTCACCCGCCAAACTCGGTGTTTCAAACGGATGCGCCGTGATTTTTTTTCGGGCCCTCACCGCCTCCAAAAAAAGGCCACCCATCGCCCCTGCAATTGAAACACGACCACGGAAACTCCAAAACCAGCCCACAGCGCAGGGCGCGAGCCGGCGGCGGGCGGGAGCAGCAGCACGCGAGGTCTGCCCCGCGGGGAGGCGACCGCAGCCATGACGAGCCACAAGGAGCAGGACATCCAGATGATGCTCGCGGCGGGCTGCCACCTGGGCACCAAGAACTGCGACTACCAGATGGAGCGCTACGTGTTCCGCCGCCGGGCGGACGGCATCTTCATCATCAACCTGGAGAAGACCTGGAACAAGCTGCAGCTGGCGGCGCGGATAATCGTGGCGATTGAGAACCCCCAGGACGTGATCGCCGCCACCGCGCGGCCGTTCGGGCAGCGCGCGGTGCTCAAGTTCAGCCAGTACACGGGCTGCAAGTGCCAGGCGGGCCGCCACACGCCGGGATCCTACACCAACCAGCTGCAGAAGCGCTTCGAGGAGCCGCGCCTGCTGATCCTCTGCGATCCGCGCACCGACCACCAGCCCATCCGCGAGGCCAGCTACGTCAACATCCCCACCATCGCCTTCTGCGACACGGACTCCCCCCTGCGCTTCGTGGACGTCGCCATACCCGCCAACAACAAGGGCAAGCACGCCATCGGCGTGCTGTACTACATACTGGCGCGAATGGTGCTCCAGATGCGCGGCACGCTGCCCCCGGACCAGGGCTGGGACGTCATGGTCGACCTGTTCTTCTACCGCGAGCCCGAAGAAAAGGAGGAGGCCGAGGAGGGGGGCTTCGGCGGCCCGGGCGCGGACGGCTGGGGCGCCCAGCCCGCTGCCGCCGTGGCGCCGGCCAACAACTGGGGCGGCCAGGCGGCGGGCACGGAGTGGACCACCGGCGATCAGTGGTCCACGCCTGCCGCCGGTGGGGCGGATGCCGGATGGACACCGGCGGCGCCACCAGCCGGGGACCAATGGGGAGCCCCAGCCGCTGATGCGCAACCTGCGGCCGCTCCCGCGGCCGGCTTCGGCGCTGTTCCTCCGCCCGCGGCCGAGGCGGGCGACTGGAGCACCCCCCCGGCGACAGCGGCAACGGGGGGGGATGCAAGCTGGGGCGCGCCGCCGGCGGCCGGCGGAGGGTGGCAGCCCGCCAGGGCCGAGGAGTGGGGCGCCGCGGCGCCACCGGGGGGCGGCGCCGGCGGGTGGGAGCAGGCGCAGCCGCCGGCCGGCCAGGGCGGGCAGTGGAACCAGGGCGGCCAGGGCTGGGGCGGATCCGGCTACTGAGGGGCGGATGGGCATTGAGGATGGCGGCTCCGGATCTCGGATCGGTGGAAGCAGATCTCGGCCCCGGGGAGGGGATGGTGGCCTGGCTGGCAGCGTGTCCTTCATTGAAAGGAGATGTGGGCCCCAGGGAGGGTTGGCAATGTGTGCTGCAACTCCTGGGGACTGGGAGATAGAATGCTGCTGGAAAATGGTTTGGTGCGGCCTGCGGGTGTGGCCCCGGCTGTTGCGGCGGTTGGAATGGGCAGGTGGGTCTGTGTGGGTGTGGCGGTGCGCACGCATTCTGCCAGAGATGTGCTGTTGGGACTCGGAGATGATGGACAATTTGGTGTGGACAGCTTTGGTACGTGTGAGCAGCTTCCTTTTCCTGAAGGGTGCCTGGTGTGGAGCGGGCAGGGTTGTTCTTCTTTTCAAGGCCAGTGTCCAATGCAGCCGTACGGCATGCCTCCCTGGGATCGATGAGCCTTGATCGGCACATTGGGCCCCACTTTCTGTTGCGGGGATTTGGCAAAAGCAGCTGTCCATTTGGCTTGCCGAAACTTCCAAAAGCAACCTCGCATTGCAACACTAGTCAGTGGCATAGCGGCACTGTTCGGCGTTGTTGGGCATGTCGTCTAGGAGGAGAACAAAAAGCAAACTTGGGTGCTTTGGAATTCCACCACACACAGCTGCAGTGTCACAGGTGGTAAGCAAATATCATCCAAGTTACCAGCGAAAATCGCAGCAGGGCACCGAACTGGAGTGTGGTTAGTGGCCCTCAGTTTTTCTGTGTGCAGGCCGCATTTCTCTCCTGCTGTTCCACAGCAAGGAACGCTCCTATCATGGTGTATGCTGGATTGCTCTCCAGCAATCCATCTACAAATTTGGCAATTCCAAAGTCCACACAAGTGCAACGCAAGAAAAGGAAATGGTTGGAAAGAAGCATTCGGGGCTTGGGCAAGAAAATCATAGCAGACATGCAAATTTTGTAACCGGTCTCTTTTACGACTGCAAAGAACGTTGGACCGTCTTTTGCCATGGTACTTTGTTGATATGTGTACTTTGCATGATATGGCGGTGACTGGTCCATCATTGACAGATGGTTGTATGACTAGAAAGGGACATGCCTGTCCGCGACCTATTTGTAACTCTGTAACCTCAGCACCCTCAGCACCCTCAGCACCCTCAGCACCCTCAGCACCCTCAGCACCCTCAGCACCCTCAGCACCCTCAGCACCTTCAGCACACATAGTCCCACCCCAAACGTAGCGCATCATGTGGCACCCGAAGCAAGGGTGGGATTATAGGACTATGGCTGCATGGCGCGGTGCGACGCTGAGGCGCGCGAACGTCGTGCCATCGTTGCTGTGCGTTGGACTGGCGACGTGATGAGTGGTATACAACGAAGGTCACGGAGTAGTCACGCGAGAGCCGCAGCAGGGATTGCATGACAAGGAGCCAGTAGGACGGCGGCTCTTGTGAGCTGACAGTGTGATCCTATATGGAGACCCGTCCTATTGATATGGTGGAGCGTCACTGCCGTGTCGAGCGAGCACGTGGCATAGCGTGAGCGAGGCCCGCGTGGCAATTCCATTGCATTGGGCATGGCAATGCCATGATGGCATTGTCTTTGTTGTTGGGGGTGCACACTGAGTGCCGATGGGCCAGCTTAGGTTGAGTTGCTGCTGAGATGCCCCGTGGAGGTGGCAACTTGCCACTGGGAAGGTTCGCCAAGACGTGTTGCTCTTGAGTTTGATGGTTTTCTTTCCGAATCTGGTTTCTTTCGATGGATTCTTGAGCCGATGCTCTAGTTCTTGATATGTTCCTTTGTGATGGGTTTGTTTGTTCGTGTTCAAGGCCCCTGCATATGACGGCTGGCCAAGTGTTCGAAGGTTTGAATGTCTCCTTCATGATGGTTTCTACCAGTTTCCTGGTTCCCTTGGTTTGCTTGATTGAGGCGAATACACATCGAGGACGACGCTCTATGTGTGTTGGGGACGAATGATATGGCAATGACTGCTCCGTCATTGACAAATGGTTGTACGGCTATAAAGGGACATGCCTGTCCACGACCTATCTGTAACTTTGTACCGTCAGTTGTGTCCCCATGCCTGTGGCCGTGCCTGCCTATGACACATAGTCCCACTCCGAACCTAACGTATCAGTACCTTAGCAACCTTCAAGACAATTGTCCAAAGAAACTATTGCTTCACAGGCACTCCTCATGTTGGTGCCACGCATGCCTGCACATGGGGCCTTGATTCCTGCTCGAGTCTGGCGTGCTTTGCAGCCTCCCCCTCACCAATTTGGACGGCCCCCACAGCGCGGTAATTCCATCATTCAAGCATTGAAGCCATCAAGCCCATTTCCGCCGATCGCCCCACGATCACTAACCCTGCGGACAGAAATGACTCCCCGCCTCCGCCAGCACCGCGATACAAGCTTCCCCCAGCGCGCACGCCTACCCCCAGCTGCCTCCGCTGCCTATCCCGCCTCCCAGGCGCCCAAACGCGCACTTCCACACCTGGGAAAGGCAAGGGCAGCCAGATGGACGGGATGCTGTCCACCGGCATGCTGGCATCCGTGTTCGCGCTGTCGGACACGGGTCAAGTCAGCAAGGAGCCGGTGAACGTGCAATGCCTTGGTGCGTCCTCCCGTGCCCTTGCAAAATTCTCAGCGCGTTGGACAGAACTCGAGTTAGGAGCCCTCCCAGGACACCGGCAGGCGTCCTCGAGGAGGTTCTGCCGAGTTTGCTGCCGCTGCTGTGACACAGCGGCTGTCTGGATTTTCCCCCGCGCTGGGACGCGCTGTGCGCTGCGTCGCCGCGCGCAAGCGCGCGCGTTGGCGACCGCTGCAGGAGACGGGGACGCCTGGGATCGGCGCCGGTGGCCTTGCTAGCTTGCTGCGCCTTTCGGGTAATTTTCGGGTGACGGGTGCAGCTTTCTGAGCAGCAGAACTAGGCGTTGTGGGGAGGCTGATTTGTGGGGCGCCATTCGCGCTGGTCTTTGCGTCCTTTCCATACGCGAGCGTTTGGCGCGATCTTTAGCCGCACAGCAGGGTGGTGGATGCTGCGTTGCTGGATGCTCGGCAATGCTGAATCCCGCGTGCCTTGCTGGTCAAGCGAGACGTGCGCGGCGCGGCGGTCCGCTCTTGTGCGACTCTGCGCGGGAGTTATGTTCATGCCGTCGGTGCAACCACCGCGATTCGTAGTTTCGGCGAAGATTTTTGCCGAAGGGAGGTTAGAATTCTGTGAAATAGCAAGGACGATGTCGAATGGGCAGCGTCGGGGAATGGCAAGGAATGGGTGGCATGGCCGTGCGCTGCCACGCATTCTTCCGCCCTGTTCCGTGCCATCTGTGGGCGTTGTAGTCTGCACCTTTGTCAAAAGTTGCACACGAAGTACGCCTGGCTACACATCACCGGAGCTTTTCCAAAGCCAATGGGAGAATTCTGCATCACCTGCAGCGAAAGCGGGGCCCATTGTTGACACGGCTGTCCTATCGTCACATGGCAAGTTTCGCTGCTCATCCCTGCAGGCGACCTCCCTGAAAGCCTTTTCGGTGGGCCTTCCCTTCAATGCAGGTGTCAAGGATATACAAGGGAAAGACAGGCAGCCCAGGTTCAGGATACTGATCAGCGACGGTGTCAACTTTGGGATGGCCATGCTTGCGTCACAGATGACGGACAAAGTGTCCAACGGCCAGCTTGTAGAAGGCTCCATCCTGCGGTTGACTGACTACCTGCCGAACACTGTGAACGGCAGAAAGTGAGCGAGCCTGCTTTCTAGTGGAAGGTCTCTGATTCAATCTTTGCACGAAAAGTGCATTTTCCCAGCAATTGCTGTACAGCCTGTGTTGGATTCCACAGCAACGACATGTGCAAAATACTAGGAAGCACTCTGCCCTTGCACCCACTGGGGGCTGACGGGATGTTGACAGTGCTCCATTTTGGCTTGCGACTACCTAGCATCGTTGCAAACGAACTGGGGTCTGTGAGAATTACGGCAACTATTCTGACACCGCGTCTGCTTACAGGGCTTTCCTGTTCCTGCACAAAACAGGGGCAAAGTACGACGTGCTCCTAAGAGATCTGCACTTTGGCACGATCAACGCCTGGTGACCAAAGAGACCATAACAGACTAGAAGTGTGGGGAGATGTGTACTTGAATGCATGCCTACCAGAAAAAATTTACCTACTAAAGTATTCGCTTTCCCACAGTATTTGGCTATCACAGCTGAACAATGGCATGTGTCACATACTGTGAGGGGTGCGACGAGACAATGTGAGACAAGCTCGTGTGCTGGGGCCCTGCAGGATTCTCATTGTCCTCCAACTGGAAGTTCTTGGGAGGTCTGGAAAGATCGGCGACCCCCAAGCTTTGGAGCAGCGCGTTGGTATGGCTGCGCCTGCACAGCACAGCATGAACGGCGCTGGAGGTAACCTGAATCAGAACTCAGCTCCAGCGCCTGGCAGCACGGGGCCTGGCAGCACGGGGCCCTACGGCCAGGGTGCCTGGCCAACAACGGGTATGTATGGCCAGGGGGGTTCAACCAGGCCGTCGGGCCAGAGCGGGGGGTACAGCAGCAACTATCAGGACAGCCGGGGGCCTCCAGGCAGTGGGGCAGCCTCCTTTTATGGACAGGGGCCCCAACGTGGTGGAGGTGGTGATGCAGGCAATTCTTATCGATCAAGGAATGTGCATGAAGGTGAGATAGTGTTGCTGATTCCAACCATGGCACTGTAGTTTCATGCCCAGCTTGTTTCAGGACAGTGCAGAGATTGTGAGTGGGTGCAGCAAACATATTTGGACAATCAATTGGAGTGGAACTATGCCCTTCTTGGCCCTGAAGGTTCATGGTAGCATTTTGTGGCTTGCTGACAAACGTAAGCAAATGTTTGACATGTGGTGAGAACAACCACGTGCTAGTGTCAGCGTCCTTGGCTAGTGCTTTCTGACTTGTTGATGACGTTCTCCCTTGTGTCAACAAGGTGATAGCCACCAGGCATTTTTCTGCACAGCGTCATGGGTGTTCAATGTGCCCATTGTGCACTCGTGCAGTTTATGCGTTGAGGATGCAAAGGTCTGAGCTGGGTTGAACTTTGGCATCAGCCATTCATAAGTTCACAGCCTTGCGGCTCTGCAGGTGTGATGGGGTAAAGGCACTTTGGCCTTTCCCACTGCATTCAACAACCTTTTAGGTCTGGCATTCATGTGACATTTTGAATATGTGCTACAATTTGGAGTCAAACTAACTAACACATTACACTAGATCAGCTGCAAAGTTGCTCCCCTTGCATTTAGATGTCACGAGTTAGTGCTGACCACATCGAGCGAGCTGAACCCTGATCATAGCCACTGAGACTGCTGTCGCAGTGCCCAAGCGTCCTGTCAGCCCCAGACAGGTGCAAGTGCAGCGCTGTTTTGCATCAACGAACTGAATGTGCATGTGTTCCAGATGTCAAATTGATTTAACAGAACAGTGTCCATGCATTTCATGACTGCAATCAGTGTGCCTTTCCAACTCCAGTTGCATTGCATCTTGCACCTCCACAGGCGGGCCCTATGGGCAGTCCGGTGGTGGACTGAACCCCGGGGCGGGGCCCCCGCAGTACAACATGAGCCGTGGGGGTCCCATCGCAAGGGACGAGACTCCTGCCAACATCACGCCCATCAGCAGCCTCAACCCCTACATGAACAGGTGGACCATCAAGGCACGCTGCACCTCCAAGTCAGACGTGAGGAGATGGTCAAATGCGCGTTCGGAGGGCAAGGTCTTCAGCTTCGACCTGCTGGATGGGCAAGGGGGAGAGATCCGGGTCACGGGTTTCAATGACGAAGCAGACAGGTTTGTGAATTGTTTGATCGGGCAACCAAATCGTGCTGCAGTGTGCTGAGTTGTGAGCTCATTTTTGAAGCCAGCGCGTCCTTAGCTCAGAAACCAAAAAAATAGAGTGTTGCAGTTTCAAGAACGTAGCTCGCAGTGCTAACAATGAGTAGTCTGGTCACAATTTTTCAGTCGAATGATTGTGTGGCCAAAAGTCAATGGGGTTGCTATGTCAAGACAAAGAATCCAACAGGATGCCATGTGTGTGGCATTGCAAACAGTGAACGCACACCCAATGCAGTTGTTGTGGAAATTTCTCTATTGTAAATTCAACGATTGTGGCTGTTACAATAGCCATGACAAGCTCTTGTACATCATGTATTTGCGTAGAAAGATGCCATGGATGTTTGTTCTCCTTTAGTGGCGGTGTGCATTTAGCACGAAGGATGCAGCTGTTTAAGAACTGCACAGTGGTGTTGTTTCAACGAATGACAACATTAGACACAATGTCAATTTCGAACCAGGACACTGTGTGCAGGGGTGACCATTACGATCGGCGCATTTGGCAGGTACTTCGACATGGTTGAGACCGGTGGGATCTACACATTGTCCAAAGCGAGCCTGACGCAGAAGAAACCCCAATTCAATCACACCAATCACCAGTTCGAAATTCGGCTGGAGCGCCAGAGTGTGTTGGAGCGCTGCCCAGAGGACAACTCCACGTCTCATATACCAAGGGTTCAGTACCAGGTATGGTTTACTCATAGTGCGCAAAAACTGATGACTCACTGCTGGCCCAAGTTTAGACACGATCAGTCCAACCAGTCAAAATAGCCCCGCCAATGACTTCTTAAGCACCTTGCTGTTCTATTGTGGCCTTGCTGCTGATTTATGGCAGTTTGCTGGAGTTTGGACCACATGCGTTATTTTGCCTCTTCAACAGGGAGTGCAAGCCCAGGTAGCCACGCTGTGTGTGTACTGACAAAGCTCCACACGAATGGCAGACTTGCTGCAAGAGCATTGTGTCTTGAAATGGTTAGTGCAATGGAAAATGGTAAAAAAAATCTCAGGTAATGTGTGCATACACTCGGTGCTGCTGCATGCAGCGACCCCATTGGTGGAACTTGAGAGCATATCCAAGAAACGTGCCCAGTGCGTGAGAGCTGATAAAGCCAACCACAGAATGGATGTGGGATTGTGGATGCTGAACAAACGACAATTGGTTTAGTTCGCTTCCCCTGCAATCAGGGCAAAATGATCCTATCCACCCATCTTGAGAAGTTGTGGCCACTCGATGATGTAGCTGTCATATCATCACGAGATAGACATCAAAAGGGTAATGTTTGTTGTTTGCTGCAGTTCAGGGACATAGGCTCCATTCAGAACCTTGAGGCTGGCACCATGGTGGACGTGGTGGGAGTGGTGGAGCGCGTGGAGCCCTGGAGCAAGATCACCAAAAAGAATGGCGATGAGGCCATGAAACGACCTGTGATAATAAAGGACAAGTCACTCTTCTCCATCGAGGTGTTTAAGCAAATGTTCCCAAGGGAGCCTTCGTTGGGTATTGTGGCACATACGATGAGCAATAGAACAGCCTAGCACAAAAACATTGTGGTGGTGGTGGGGGGAATATCTGGGCCTATCAATGACTGGGACAAAACCAAAGAAACCCCTGCATTATGCATCCCCAGGCTGTTTGGCTTGGCCATAGATCTTGGTCAGGGTCAGGGATTTATCCGAAATGACATGATTGGATATTTGGGTACCACCAAGTGCACCCAGGATGGATTTTGGCATCGTGCCACACAAGTATAAGTGCTCACCACCACTGAACCTGACAGCGTTTTCATTGCCTTTCATGAAATGAACCACCAGGTATAGCCTCCTCATATGAATGCGGCTCCTTTCTCACGTGCATCTCCGCAGTTTCGTTGTGCCCTATTTGGTTCCTCTTAGCAGGAACCCAGATGTGGTGCTGCTAGACACTGATTGCTCACTGATTCTCTGTGTTCTGATGTAGATTACCCTTTGGGGAAATTTCGTGACCAATCCTGGTGATGCCCTGGAGCAGGTATGGTCACAATGCCACTGCTGCTTGCCCACACCTGCACTGTTGATTGGCTGATGCTACATTCCATTGCTGACGAAACATGCTGGGCAACGCCCACTCCTCAGCACCGCTTGCTCAGAGCGTGTCGTGTGCCTTTGCTGTGTCAGGAGCTTCAAAACAACAGGCACCCAGTGATCGCAGTGAAAGGGGCACGGGTTGGTGACTTTTCTGGAAAGAACTTGTCGACCATCAGCAGTAGCCAAGTTGACGTCGACCCCACAGATGTGCCAGAGGTTGCCACGCTTCGCCAATGGTGAGGCTGACCTGTGGCATTTCTTCAGATGGCATTCACTGGAAAATGACGAATCAGGTCACATGTTTTTCAGTGCGACAGGGGCCATGATTCCATGCACATTGTGTGCTTACGAGTGTTTGTTTGACCTTGTAGCTGTGCCTGAGTGTCTTTGCACTTATTGCGTATACAGTACACAGACAGTGTTCCCACAGACGTTAGTATGAGTATGTTTATTTGGCTGCTGAGATTTTAATTCAGTTCTGCGTTTTGAGTTGCAAAGAGCTACCTTGGAATGTTGGGCAGGTTCGAACAAGCAGGCGGTGATCAAGTCCAGGTAGCTTCGCTGAGCAACATGAGGGGCAGTGGTGGTGGACACAATTCCCCTCGTGTGACTCTGGATTCGATCAAAGGCATGCTGGGCGCTGATGGCCAGGCTGCTTACTGTCAGGTCAGTGGGGAGTGCTAGCCTTCCTGGCTGATGGGCTGGCATGGCTTTGGTTAGTACAAAAAGTTGCACTTCTGGCGTAGCCTGAATGTCAGTATTGCAAGTTGCTGCTGGTGCTATGTGCACATTAAGTTGCATCCATTATGTATGTAATTCGCTGCGTTTATTTGTAATTAACACCATTGATTGGGGCTTCACATATAACATCGCAGAGCGCGTGGTCCGGAAAGGGGATGAGGGTAGTGTTCAGCTATGTGTGTGTGCGTGTGTGCAGCAGCTCAACCTCAGTGCGTTTGGGGCCTCTTCAACCTGCAAAGGCTTGGATTTGTCAATTGCCCTTTTCAACTGCTGCCCCAGAATTGATTGGCGGGTTAACAAATGGGAAATTCGAATAATTAGATTGCAGATGAGAAATTAACCTTCATTGTTGCAAGAAAGCAGGCTTGTTTACAATCCAGACTGTCCATGCCTGGCCCTAGCGATGTTGATGCATGGGGGAGGTTGTGCATTTGTTCAGGTGGCGGCCACAGTCTTCTTCATTCGCAATGAAAACATGTACTACCCTGCGTGCCCCCTGGATTTCAATGGACGGCAGTGCCACAAGAAGCTGAGAGAGGAGTCCGTGGATCGATGGTACAGATTTGGATGCAGAATGGGAAAAAAATGTGCTGTGCCAAGGGAAACTTTGCTGAAAGCTATTTGTAAGCCCTGAATGTTGAACTGAACACCTGTGGGGACTTTTGATGTGCTGTTGACCTTTGATTTCAAAGTGGAGAACAAAATGTTTTTTGCCGGTTTTGATTGTTGTATCGTGTTGTTGCATTGCATGTTGCACATGCTTTCTTGAGTGTCAATTTCATAGCTGTGTCATCGTGCCACAGGGTGTGCGAGAGGTGCCAGAACAATGTTGAGAGGCCCTTGTGGAGGTATCTGCTGTCCTTGACCCTTAAAGACCAAACGGGGCAGCAGATCGTGACAGCCTTCGGCGAGCAGGGGCAGGAAATCTTGGGAATGAGTGCTGACAGCCTGAAGGAGCTGGAGGGGTCCCCTGATTTCGACAAAGTCGTTATGGTGAGCCCATACATTTGTGGTAGACCTGATGTGAGCAATGCTTCCGTTGTCTGGGAGCCAGCTATGAACATTTGGCTTGAACAACCCTGAATTGGGCACGACAAGGGTCAAGACAGTGTCATGGCACCTATACAAACATCTATGCACTTGGGGTCCGACCTCCGAGTCACTGCTGTGAATATAATCTGGGTCACGATGTGGGGACCCCTGGTGACCAGCTGGCCAAGGTGCCAATGTCTCATTCCAGGGTCACTCAGGTGTCCCTATAGCTGCCCTACTGTATTGGTGATGTGCGTACTGCAAGATGATATTACATTGCTAAACGTCGGTTCAGGAGCAGGAAGTGGCGATGGGAGGAGCACCACTCAAAGCTGAGGATATTGGCAGGGAGCATTCCTGAACTGCATTCTCTGAAATCTGAAAATGCAATTGGACGACCACAAAACTTTGAATTCCGGCTGCAGAATCCCGACTGCCATATTAGCTGCATTTTGCTAGCAGCATTGTCTGAATTTTGTCAATCAGGAAAGATCTGTGGTGCAGTGTACTGCTGTGTGAATTCACTTTGAAATGAAGTCACCTGCACCAAACAACAGTGAGAAACGATCCATAGGGTTGCTATATCTGTCCAGGCACCTGTCAAGGGGCTGCTAAATCGGGCCCCTACTGCATCGCAAAGCCCTTTCAGTCAAGAGAGGCATAATTCTGCCCAGTTCTTTTGTTCCAGAGCACTCTTCACTTCCATGAATAAGAGTATTCAGAAAATCACTAAAGCAAGCACAGCAGCAGCTATCCTGCTATGTCAGTCATTCAGTTACTTGCAAGTGTGACTTCTGCAGGCGGCCAACTTCAGCGAGCGACTGTTCACTCTGCGAGTGCATGAGGACTTCTACAATGACGAGAAGAGGACAAAGGTCTCGGTGGTGCGGCAAGAGCGGATCGACTGGCAGAAGGAGTCAAAGGCAAGTGGTGGCATGACAAGACAACATCCCGCAGGTTTACACTTCTTGCAACAAAGGAAAGCATGCCACGCAGGAGACACCACGTCCCCAGCAAGGAATGTTTGTGAGACTCCTTCCCATGCTATGAAAGATAACGCAGAAGTCCCTTGCTGTGAAGTGAAGGCACATATGCAGAACACCTTCGTACATCACTCACACACGTACTTATAGTTTCTTTTTGCAAGTGTTGTGCTGTCCTCATATGCCATTAGAAATCTGATGCTGTCCAAATGAATGGTACATCTGCTATGGCCATTACATACTTTATTCACTGATGTTTTGGTTATGTTCATCCACTCCCCATGTCTGGTGGAACGTACTTGCTCCATTCAGGGGTTGAGGCTCTGGATTGTGGACATGTCACTAGCTGTCAATTCAAGAAGTGTAGACTCAAGCATTCTATTAATTTGGGCTTGCCAGCAGCGCTGGACAGAGACACAGTCCATGTTTGAGCCTCATTAAGGCTTGTTGGCAACAGCGACAGCAGCACTGCATGGACATTGCTTTGATTGCCTGGAAATGGGTGAAGAACGTTGTGTGTGTCTGCAATATGAAGTCTCAAACTGCACACACATTTCATCCACGAGAAGTGGTTGAAACGTTAGTGGGTGTGTGGGGCTTATCCAACACTGGCGGCCAGATTGGGAGAGAAGGAATGTAGGTTAGACTGTGACTTCAGAAAAATAGGGCGCCCTGCACATACTTGATTGAATCAGTGCATGCCGTCCAATCAATGTCCACCAGTTTCATTCTCCTTGTTCATCCATTTTACATCATCTGTAGCAACCAGACCAACTCAGGCACTTGAAACGATTGCCTTTGACAATCTAGGTGCAAGCAAGATTATGACTGACTGCCCCTTCGTGCGATAAAATATTCCTCAAGCACACACAGCACATGACCTCTTCTGTGTAGAAAATCTTGCAGCTGTCCACAGGCCATCAGAGCTGCTGTCGTCGCATCAGCAGCGAGGATTGCTGTGTGCCTTTCAACTTGCACTTTGGTCCTGACCCCTGTTCCCCTTCCATTTGGTATGGTGTCTGTCGAAACAAGCATTGCAGATTACTTCATGCACATCCCCAACGCGCAAAGGCAGTGCATTTTGCTTCCTCTTGATGCCTGCATCTAGGGGAATGATGAACTTGGCCTTGCTCAGGTGCTCATGAGCGAAATACAGTCGCTCAGCGGCGGTGGCACACCCCAGCAGCCCCCAGGCAGCCAGCAGCTGTACCAACCACCCCCGGCACACAATGCTGGCGGCCAGTCCCACGGGGCACCACAGGCCGGAATGGGCGCTTATGGAGGCAGCAACAGCTACAGCTCCATGGGCGGCCCCTCTGCCGGGATGATGGGCGGAGGTATGGGGTACAACCGGCAGCCGAACGGCACATCAGCTTGGCAGGGTGGCCAAGGGGGTGCAGGGTTCAAGCGGTATTCTGAGGCATGGTAGGGCCAAACGCATGGCACGTGTTCTTCTCTGCCAGGATGATGATCTTTGGCTCGCGGCACCCAGCGACCAGGAGCGTAAGGGGTTGTCCCACGCGAGGCGCGCATTGTGGGTCGCGGGTCGTCGACACACAGCGATGTCGGTGTGGTGGCATGAGGCCTTTGCCGAAAATTGCACGGAGTACTGGGAAAATGTACTGCGTGTGTTGTTAAAGCACTAGCTGGCAGCATGTTAGCCTATGAGTGTGTTTGTCAAGAAGTGACAGGGTTGCCCAGGGGCAGGTTGTAGGCGGGCAGGATGTGGGAGCGCTGATGTCTGGTGAGGGGAACGTGTAGTGAGCTCTAAGAGTGGATTTTTTTCTTTAATTGGGGGGCGGCGGCTTGGGGGTACTGTTTTGAGGATGCAGGCTGAGCAGGCTGTTTCGCATGGATTTAGGTGGCACCGGGGCTCTGCTTGCCGGCTTCGCCATTTGTGACGGGGAATCAAACGGAAAACGTTGTCCAAGAATCCTGTATCTGCATAGGATTTGCCAAGAAAGTGAGAATCGCAAATTCAAGGGGTCCAAGCCCAATCATATGGAAACACTACCCGCTGCCTTTCAGGGCTCTAAAGACAGGAGTTTGCGTGGACAGCGAGCTTGGCGGGCTCCTGGATAGAAGGTCTGTGAGTGTCTTCACGGTCTCAGGCAACCGCGCAAATAATTCCCCTTTGCAATGTCTTCGTCCCGGGAGCAATAACGTGAGCGAAATTGGTGCTCTTTTCCTGCAGATGATCGCCGCCCTCAGCGGCTCACCAACTTCGCATCGCTCCCCTCCCCTTCCACCGCGCTTGCACTGATCAAAGGGAGCTCCTCGATCCCAAATATAGCCAACGGATTTGTTGCCAAGGCCGAACGCAGTGTTATCAGCAATACCAATGTGTGACAAGACGTTCTCCCAGAAAACAGACCTGCTATATATCTCCAGAGCTCATTCCCTTGAGCTGGAACTTCGTTTTGCTGGTCGCATTGCCCCCCCCACCCCCCACCCCGCCCATCATGCCTTGCGCACATGGGTGGGACGCCAACCCACCGTACCACCCCGAGCAGCATCACCACACAGCACTCCATCAAGAAGACGAGAATCGACGTTGTGTGTGTGATGGAGAACTGCAGGCTCGGGAGGACTCGCGTGCCAATGTCTGACCACGTTGGTGGCGAGCGGATATAGTGAACGGATCTGCGGCATGCAAACGTTCTTGGATATATACACGCTCACCATCTCCATGTGCCACGGCACCGCTTGCCTTGTCGAAAGTAGTTCTAAGGTAAACAGCTGGCTCGGGAGAAAAACGCATCGCTCTACACTGTGGATCCTCCATGAGCTGCTGGGGTCACCAGGCCAGTCCAATATGAGCGTACAAAAAATCGTGCGCCCGTGACACCAAAAGGAAAACGAAAATTATATTTTCCATGAACAGAGGACTGCGTATGCAAAGCATTTTGAGCGGGTATAGCAAAACTGCACGAACGTCGAGTTTTTGCTCTCTGTGGAGTCACATCGAACCCTCCTTTCCTGACTACAGCAGATGCCATCTGCAAGCTGTGCGCAGACGTCATGACACGGCGGTCGTGACAACGGCTCGGTTGGACAACATGCATCAGCGCTAGTCCGATGATGCGAATGTGACAATTGTCAAGCGCCATCCCTGCGGGACAGGGCATGTGAACGCCTGGAGCCCCGTGGGGCCCCACAGTGTTGGTCCTGAAAATATGTGCAAGACATCGGCCTGCTAGAATGTCAATGGAACATATGCATTGGATCCATCCATTGGATCGATCATGGAAGGCGACCACCTGAGGGATGGGAATGCATGGGCTGCGCTGCGGTGGCAACGTTGCCGAGTGCCAATAGTGAGTGCCAATGTAGTCTTTGGGGCTGAGATGAAGGCTCAATTTGCAGGATGTCTTGCAAGAGTGATTTGCGTGGCCAATGCGCACATGAATCTCCAGTGTCGACGGCGGATGCGGGCATACCATCTTGAATTCAGCGCACAGTTTGAGCGGCATCCGGTAGCCAGGCAGGGCCAAGGCCTTGCGGCTTGAGGGATTGGCTACTCTGTTTGACGCCCGGAGAGGAAGGGGGCCTATTGAGAGTCAATGTACCGTGCTTCAGGAACGCGGCTGGTTGGCGAAGATGAGATGTGCCAAGCTGTTATAGGTTTTGCCCATCAGCTTATTGCGATTCGTAAAGACAACACTCTGATTGTATGCTTAGATCTCAAAAGAAGCTCAGTGCTTGTGCACTTTTGTTGCTGGTGTGCGCAACCAGATTTGTGCTCCGTATACACTCTCTCGCCCCGCCATGGGCACATCATGGTACATACCGCCCTGGTCCCTGTGGGATACCTGGACTGACAAGGCTTTGGCGAAAGCTGCAACAAACTTTCAATCACAGGGAACGAAAGAAAAAGATACATTTCGAAATGCATCGAATTCGATTCAATTACAAAAGATCAGCCACAGATTGTGATGATGGGTCATCGGCGTTAAGTTAGTGCTTAAATTAGTGCATAGCATGCGATGGACGCGCAGAAATCGAGCATTGTGATGAGAGAGAATCAGAGAGACATTGAACATATTGGATGCAGCAACAGGACGCCTGTACTTGCTGCGTAGATTCCTATTTGCAACTTATTGGCGCAAAATGAGTGCACGGCCCTGAGCGAATCCATAACATTCACGAGACTAATGCCGTTGGTGTGGACGGCGCTTTGCATTTTCCTTTCGGGTCATTGGTGGAAATAGCACCACTCGTATTCGATGGCAACAAACAAGCACTTCCGTGCAGTTTTGTGGACTGTCGACATTGCCTGTGCGACCGGATTTTCAGTGTCTCTGCCGAATGAACGTATTGGATCTCGCGCTTTGAAGGTGCCATAAGTCCTGTTGGAATGTCGGCGCCCAATCAAGACTACATCGAGCTCGGTCAACTGGGTCTGGACGTCCCCGCACTTGTATTTTCATGGGCCCCCGAGCACGCCGAGTTTCACGCCATTGTCGGAGGGTGTCGGGCAGACAAAATGAACAGGTGCGGGACATGAAAATTTGGCTGTAACATGCCCGTCATCGCAAACAAGATGCAAGGACACCGCTTTGCCTTGCCGAAGGCAGTTTCGGAGTGCTGCAGCCCTGGGTCTCACAGCACCGCGATTTGGGACCACCTAATCAGGTCTTGACGGGGCGGCACACTTTCTCCACGAGCATCAGCCTGGCTGGCGAGCGCAGCATTGCAGGGCACTCCGGATGACAACAGCGACAGCCCACATCTCTTCCATTGGGAAGTGGGCGGCACCTGGACTCCCAAATGCATTGCAACAGCTCTGGAATATAAAGCAGGGAATTAAAAAAACTTGCTGCAGCACCAGCTTGGGCTTGGCGCGCCCCAGCTCGTCTGGGCCTGAAAACTGGGTCGTCGCTCAAAACCCCAAACCAACCTAACCTGAAAAACCGCCGAAACAAGCCAACATACACACCCTTCACCGACACGCCACCTGTGGCGATTTTCTGAGTACCCCGCCTGAACCATGTACCTTGAGGATTGATTGCGATATGATAACTGAATTATAGGAAAGTCTGTGCGTATTGGAATGTGTTGTAGTTGGTTGTGAAGGCTGTAGGTTGTGCCCTGCCCGTACGACGATGAAGCAACCGTGCCAATGATGCGTGCTGCCCTGTGAGGAAAACCCATGAAGGATACTGCTGCCGAACATCCCTGAACCGGAAGGCTGGATGACAAACGACGACCCTGTGAGCCTATGCTGGAGAGGTGATGACGTGCCGCCTTGTACAATCGCTGTGGAGTGTCAGGAGGACGAGCTGACCCAATGAAGAGCGGGCCCAACTTTGGATCTGACGGAGGGAAGGCTGGAGAGTGAGTCACACTGCGAGCTGCGCCTCAGCAAGGAGAATCGGGCCGAATGCCTTGGGTAATTGACGGGTATGGTAGAGTTCTGGGCGGCAAAGGCGATCCCCATGACTTAGGCCGGGTAAGGATACCCTGAGTAACGCAGTCGGCGGCTTACCAAGGGTAAGGCACCATGGGTAACGCAGTCGGCGGCTTACCAAGGGTAAGGCGCCATGAGTAACGCAGTCGGCGGCTTACCAAGGGTAAGACACCCTGGGTAACGCAGTCGGCAGCTTACCAAGGGTAAGGCAGCCGGTGGATTGGGAAGGGTAAGGATACCCTGGGTAACGCAGGCTAGTACTTAGACGGGAGTGGCCAGTATGTTGAGACGTGGGAGGCGCACCCTGGGTAAAAGGTACATTCGTACCTTGTATGAAATTGAAGGGACCTTTCAGAGAACCCTGGTAACGGTGCCGCGCCGCGGCTTGGGTATTTAAAGACACACGGCTTCACTTGTAACGAACAACTGCGAACCTTGGGCCCACCTCGCTGTTGTGTGTGAGTGACCTTCGGGGATTGTACCCCGCTGAGTGGAGAACATGCCGCGCTGACAGACGCCCATTGTGGATGCACTTCGCCGTCGAGTTTAGCTCGGATGGGCGAGCGTCTCAATTCGTGCGTGACCGGCTCATTGCTGGA